TATTGATCTGGTAGATAATGCTAATATTAATGTGGGACTGTCTCCAACAAAAAACAGCCTCTGAGGTAAATAACTAACTCATTTTGTGTAAATACAAAATCAATTGAGTTTGTTTATTGGCCGGATGTTATTATATTTTTATATAGTTGGCACATTTCTAAACAAATTTTTAAAATTGTTGAAGTCACTTTCTGTCCTACCTGTCTAAAAATAGCCTCATTTGCTGTTCTTTTATTTACCATGTTCACGAGGAATTTAGGGGGCTAGTCATTGCCAAATTTAGTCTAGTTTATGCTTATCATTACTAAATTTAGACTAATAAAATACATCATAATTAGCATATTTAGCTATTTTTAAAATTTCAACTAAACTAAAAATCACACAAAGACACTTTTTTTGAAAAACTTTGAAAAACTTTGAAAGGATCACGAAATCGCTATTTTTGAAATTGGGCGTACGGCGCAGTAATCAGAGGTCTTTAAACCGAGCCAACCATATGTGAACTGAATTAAAAAATTCAATATTAATACAAGAGAAATATTATTATAATCCTCATGTGACTGACTGTCTTTAATGTGCCAATCACGTTTGAGGCAATTATGTTTAGAATGAGAAAATCTCCATTTAATGAATTGATTATATTTAGAAATCCACAGATTACATGTTATATAAATCATTAATTAATCAATTACATAAAATTATTTCTTAAATTTTTTATAAAGGCCAATAAACAAACAAAAGCAGCAATATAATAATAACATACAGTCAACCAAGTCAAATATGGTTGCTTTCAGCAATTCACAAAATCCTTTTATTAAACAGTGTTTTTTGATGGATGTGGAACAAAAAATTCCCCAGAAAATAATTTACCATTTTACAAGATTATCATGTAGTTATCCACAAAAAATATCCGCAATCGCCAAATCGATTTCTAAATAAGGATAACACGCACCAACCCACCAATAAAAATTGGATATTCCGAGGTTTCACGAAATTTGCGGATATTTTTTGTGGATAACTACACGATTATTTTTACAAGGGGTTTTCATACAGAATTAATGAAAATTGCTAAAGATGATGAAATAAGTCAAGAACCAATTCCGAAAATGGATTGCTGCAGCCTGCAAATTGACTAGCTGCGAGTGAAAGGTTTGTTATACGTGTACACAGTCAGCACCTGATATAGTGAACCTACCTACTATATATAGTAAATTGTCCAATATAACGAAGTTGGGAAATTTCATTATAAACTTTGAAATTCACACGTGTGAAATTCAAATTAGCCAATCAGAAGCATTTAACGGTGGCTTAATTATCTAAACATAAATTTATCTATCAAAGGGACGGAAGAGATACCAACTCATAGTCAGCTCAAGTTTTTTTTTGCTGGTCCAACATCTTTTCTTTATTTATTATTATAAATAGAACTCCTGACGAACTGGCAGTACTTAACTTAACGTTAACTTTAACTATTCTATATACACAATGCAATCATTTTCGTAACACTTAAATTTTCCTTTTGTTTCGTTAAGAAACAAGCGTTTCCGTTTTGAGTAAAGATTTACCACGGTATCATATCCTGTGGCTATTATTACTATTACCATATTACTATTATTCCATTATACAATAATAATAGAGTAAAATATAAAGATGAATTAAAAACAGCGAAAATAAAGCTGCCTCGATCGATAAATTGTCATGCTCGAGTTCAACTGTGCGGGTTGAAGCTGAGGGATCTGATAGTATGTTGGTAGATATTCACCTTTCCAAATCAAAAAGGCAGGAGCTTATTATACATGAGTTTCCAAACACACCAACCCATAGTGTCGATTGATTGATCAGCAGAGTTAGCATAAACAAATGGAATGTTATTGCAATACCGGAGAAAACAAAATAAGCATGAATAACTTTATTGACGTTTACTTTTTTTTCTTTTAAAAAATCACGTCCAAAATTAATGTGACAAGTGCATCCCACAAGACTGTTGAACGTCCATATAATGCACAATACCGCAAGAAATTTGGATCTACAAAAAAATCCGATTGGAGGAGTGTAGTAGGCCATGCCTACTGATACCCAAGGCAATGCCATTGAGGATAAAGCGGTAAATGTAAACATAAACTTTATATGTAAAGGGTTTTTGTCAAATCGTCTTATTGTGAACTCTTCACCCCGTTCGGTGAATTCGTTTTGTATAGCCTTTATGTCTTCATTCTCTTCTAACACTCTTATTAAACGACCCTCTAACTCTATTTCAGGGTCCTTGACTACAACTATTCCTGTTCCAAGAGTTCGCTTCATAATCACCCCAAAAGTCCAAAGAAATAACAAAGTTAAAAAGGGCCAATCTTCAAGAGTACATGGTCCTACCACCCCGGAAATTCCCGCAATAATTCCAACAGTTATATAATATGCTGATGCTAACGAGGACAATCGATCCGACACAGATGCTGTTGCCGTACAATTCTCGATAATCTTTTTTTGCGTTGAAGTAATTAGCATATCTTTAACGTGAAGGCCGACTGGTCGAAAGTCAAGTATTTTTTTATCTGTTGTAATAAAAGATTTTGCCGGGAGCCAGTATATGCACATTTCCACTGGGTCATCTTTTATATTCAAGTAGTAAAACAGAGCTGTGAAAGGACAACCAAGACATCTAAAAATCCAAGACAGTTTATGTATCAAAGATCCAAATGGTGATGTCCCTAATGTTGTAACAACAGGGATGAGACCCAACACATATTGTGGTATGGGTTCTTGCAATTTACAAATTGTTTGAAAAATTTCCGCGCCTTCTTGTGACATTTTTGTCTTAAAATTATTAAGTCATGAATTTAACTTGATTTATATATATAAGTGAAAAATCGATTTCATATTCCCAAATCAAAACATTCATTCATGAATCGAAATTTGATTACAAATAATTTTTACTGAAGGACTTAACTTGGGGCATTGAATAAAAATGACAGACTATTGTTGAACGCAGTGTGATTTTACATCCTTTATTCTACAATCGCATATTTTTACCAAATTTGTTTATTATTGTCAACTGATTGTTGAACAAGTAAGTTATCATAAATAATATATATAGATTTATTTGATAATCATAAAAATCAAAATTGGTCAACTTATTAAAAATTTTGTTAACATAATATAAATTTATCTTATCAAGAGTTTGATTCTGATTCTCCTTTATCAGTAAAGTGTGATTGTTTTTCGCTATTTCACCCTAATTCTTTCCGCTGAGAAATGGTTTTTCCTCAATAAAAATAATTTCATTGCATAATATTAGTTTATGTTACACATCAAAATCATGTGTTAATCATCTGATACAAATTTTGATCATTTCCAATTTGGTTAGAGAAACAGATTCCGCAATCTGAATATTGAATGAATAAATTAAAAAGTATATATGTAAATTAATATAGTTATTATTTGTTATTCCGTGCATGGTATTATAAATTTATCTTTACAATTACCAACTATCCAATCACCGAAAAATAAAATTCCTTTTGGTGGTAGCCTCAACATTCTAAAATTCTTGTATTTACAAATATCCTTGGCGCTGTTAGTATGACACCACCACTATATATATCTCTTTCTTTGTTAAGAACATACCATTTAAAGAAGAAATTATTCGGTTCGAGATGTCACATGATAGCATATCATTAATCTTTACGTGATCCCATTAATTTGATCTTATCTCTAATAATGGTACAACAAAATTGGATAAAATAAGTATTCACTCACTGCCAAACAATACTTGTAAAACCATGTGGATCGATATTTTGACAATATAAATTTATTTTTTAAGAATCATATATAATAATGGAATAATTATGCATTTTTTTTAAAAATATAAAAAAAATTGTATTCAAATAAATATAATTTTTTATGAAATTTTAATATACATATCTACAAACAAAATCTCTTTCCAACTGCTCCTAGGATAAAAAAACCCATTTTTTAAAAAAATATCAAATTTAAATAATATTATATAAAAATTATAAAAAGTACTGACCATCATAATTTAAACATCCAATAATAAACGTCGAGGATCTTCCACTTGTTCCTTAATTGTCTTCAAGAATGTAACAGCCTCACGTCCATCAATCAATCGATGATCATAAGTCAAGGCAACATACATCATAGGACGAATCTCAATCTATATCCATAAAATAATTATCTTTAACCATTATAACTTTTTACGTTTCTATTCAAGAAGGTTTTTAAACACCTACCTTTCCATTTATAGCAACAGGGCGTTCTTTTGTAACATGCATACCAAGAATTGCACTTTGTGGAAGATTGATGATTGGAGTGCCAAATAACGATCCATAAACACCTCCATTAGATATAGTAAATGTTCCACCTGTCATATCTTCGATAGTAATTTTTCCCTCTCTAGCCTATAATTTTTTATAAACACAAATAAAAATAATAATAAGCAAAATAATCGAGCAATATAATTCCATAATAAAAACATAAAAATAATGACTCCAACTAACCTTTACACCCAATTCAGCAATCGCTTTTTCAATTTCAATAAAAGATAACAAATGTGCATTTCTAACAACTGGAGTTACAAGACCTTTTGGTGTAGCTACAGCAACGCTAACATCAACATAATCTCTATAGATAATGCTATCACCATCAATAGAAGCATTGACGGAAGGAATCTCTTGAAGTGCTGCAACAGATGCCTTTACAAATGGAGGAAGGAATCCAAGTTTTATATTATGCTTTTTCATTACCGCATCTTTGTAAGTATTACGCATATCAATGATATTACTAATATTTATACAAAATGTTTATGTTGCTATTAGTAATTAATAGCAGTAGTCGTAATTATAATAAGTGAAGGAGAAACTAAATATATTATTATACGTATTAATATAAACAGATAAATATTTGTCAAATCTCACCTCATATCAATTTCATTAAAAGTGGTTAAAGATGCTGCGGTATTTTGCGCCTCCTTCAACCGTTCAGCAATTCTCAAACGCATTCTATTCATCTTTACCTATTATTTATTAATTCACATATCATATGTCAAGATTCTTTATTATCAATTAACTAATAAATTTGTTTGTTTGTTTGTTTGTCTGTTTGTTTTTATACATACACGACTCTCCGTACGATCCTTATAGTGATCCTCTGGTTCAGTAACTTTCGAGGTAGAAATTGTAAGTGGGGTTGAAGGCGGTGGTTTTGCAGAAGAAGAAGATTTTGCAGAAGATGGTTTTTGTTCTGGATATAAATAAATCAAAAATCAATAAATTAATAAATTCTAGAGTTACTCAATAACAATGCAATAAATAGGATACCAGTTTTTGGTTGTGGTGATGGCGGAGCAGCCTCTTTCTTTGGTTCTTCTTTAGGGGATTCGACCTTTGATTCCTGTTTTGGAGCTTCTTCCTTAGGAGATTCGACCTTTGATTCCTGTTTTGGAGCTTCTTCTTTAGGAGCTTCATCTTTGCTGGCTAAAATAATATTTAATCAAAGTGAAATCACAAACCAATCAACAAACCAATCAATAAACCAACCAATCAATAAATCTATAAATTTTAATGATGATTACCTTCAGCAGGAGCATCACCCAACTCAATTTCAAAAAGATCTTGTTGAACTGTAACATTTTCTTGCTCATCCACAAACAACTTAGTTATCTTACCGGAATGTGGAGAATTAATAGGAGCATCGATCTTTTAAAACAAAACAAACAATGTTATTATTATTGTCATTATTACTGATTATTTTGAACTCTTAAAATTTAAAGTTTGGATGATTTGATTTACCTTGTCTGTTTCGATGGTGGCAACTTCTTCGTCTTGACGAACGTAGTCACCGACCTCTTTTTATTTATTAATTAATTAATTTTTTGGTAGGTGAAAAGTGAATGAGAGAAAGAGTGAAAAAAAAGATGGTGTTAAAGTTGATCTTACTTTTACTCCATTTGGCAAGTGTTCCCTCTGTAATGGACTCGGCCAAAGGAGGAACTTTAACCACCTTACTGGCTGCAAACAAATAAAATATCATTCAATTAATTTGTTCTTTAATAATAATAATAAAATGATTATATATTTTTACTTGCCATAGTCTCGAACCTGTATCTTTAGGGCATATGTTTGGGCATATAAGAAGGTTCTTGGTGCAAACTTGAAGCTATACAACAAAGAACGAGCAGTGTTTAATTTAAGAATGTTCTTTGATATAGCAGCCAGCTGCATCATTATACTTTTTTTTAAAATTAATTAAAAATTATTTACGTGAATTAAGTAAGAAATTTTTAAAGATTTTTCTTTTAGAAATAAAAAAAAATTATATTTTCCATGTAAGATCTGCTAAAAATCTTGTCATAAATAGGAATACCGCCAATAAGATTGTGTAAATTTCGACCGCTATATGAAAATAATTGGATAGATTGCAAGTATGTACGTAATGCATGTCAATCAATCTTTATACGAGTTATTGATTCAAATAAAATTGGAATTATTCGTTTGATCATTTGATTCGAATCATTCGTATGGACCCGGACAGTAAAAATCGAGTTTTCCGGAAAGTTTTTTTTCCTTTTTAGTAAGATTTCCTGGTGATATATGGTGGATTATTCTCTACAAGAAAGCGAACATAGCATGACACAAATAATTACAGTCATTTCTTTTTACTTGGTATTAGTCTTTTTAATCTTATCCGATGGTTGGTAAATTTATTGCCAGCAAGCTAGTTAGTTAAACGGATCTTGCTGTAACGGATCGCTCTTTTGGTTTAATGAGTTCAGAGAATACTTTGTTCGATTTAACTGATGATGAACATTGATGGACAATTGACTCAATAGTAGAGGCTTGAGCGACCTTTTCGTTTAGATTAGTAAAGCACGGGAATAAATTTTCATTTCTTGGAGAAACTTCTGCTCGATTGGCTTCAATAAAACTTTTCTTTTCTTTCTGGTGATTGTGCTTCATTTAAGGCATTTTGTAAATTATTTATCTTATGAACAGAATCGGAGGAATTTGGCTTTGTGGTAACTGTTGGATAATAGCATGATTAATTCTAATTCTGCAATACCCTTTCTTTGTTCCGGCCTGGATTTATGATTATCTCTTTCTTACGTAGCATCATTTATTTGTTGTTGTCAATCTTTGGAGCATGTAACATCAACAAAACCTGTATAACAAATAATTAATATTCCGAAATTTTATATTAATATTATTTAATATACAAAAAAAACAGGTTGGAAAAAATTTTCTTTCCATATTAATACAAAGATTATTTATTTCTATTAATATTATTATTTCAATAATTTGGTTGCACAATTTTGAGTTTTTATGACGTTACACGCTCCAAAAGGTCCATCTATACACTGGTTATTGTCAGTTAGGAGGAATAGCATCATCAAGTTTATTTTTGATTTGTTGATAGGCTTGTAATTGTTTTGTAAACTTTGATTGGTTACTTTGGGATTACTTGTTTGGGATCAATCATAATAGTTGACAATGTTTGTTTGTCCTTGGTCATATTTGGTACAGTCAAAGCTCTCTATAACGAACCTTCAAAAACCGAACTGTTCTCTATAATGAATTAAGGTATTGGTCCCGATTTTTTGTTAATTAATTTTGCTCTGTATAACGAACTTTATAATTAAATTCTATATTCTGTGTAACGAACCGCTTTCGAAAAATCATATGACAAATTTACATATATATAAAATGACGCTCACTTTAATGTAACATAAAAAAAATTTTTTTTCAATAAAAAAAAAATTTTATTATTATTATTATTATTTGATACAAGTATATTATACCGACTTCTTTCTTTAACTATAACGAAAACAACATTGATATTAACATTATACAAGCGATAAGAATACAATTGTTTATTAATTGATTGTTTGCACACTACGTCTCTTTTGTTAAATCATTAATGGAAATAAAGAAAATAAATACCAATTTTTATTAAATATATAAAATATCCGTGTGCATTTATTTTTTTTAAAAAGATATTTTAAAATTCAACCAAATGTCAACTAAAAGAAGAACTACTTTGACAGCTTTACAAAAGAAAGAGTTATGTTTGTTGAAACAATGAGATCCGAATATTTCTAACGTTTAACTTGCAGATATATATAATGTCGGAAAATCTACAGTAATTGAGATTTTAAAAGAAAAAGATAAATGGATTACAAATTGCAATTTTCATAATTATATTACGATAACATGACTATAAATGTGATGTTTGATCGACACCTTATAGTGAACGCTCTCTATAACGAACAAAAATTCTCGGACAGGGGTGAACTTTGATTGTAGATTGTGAACAATTTTGGGAATTGATAATCATTTGACAAGTTAATTCAATATTGTTTGCTTGCAAAAAGAGTTGAAGTTTTTTGCTGCAGACTTCTGTTTTTACTTTAATTTACTGAAGAGAGCTAATTTTTGTTTTCCATTTTCGACGTGTTTTCTTGTCATGCATTCATTCTTTTCGTACAAATTTCTTGGATCCCAAAATGGTAATACATAGTGAATGATGAACTTTTCAAATATAATAAAATTCTACTGATGCACGTGTTCAATCAACGCTAAATAGTTAGTTATATCACGGACACTAGTACTTTGCATGGGTAATGGGTAATAATAATCTAACACATACCACATAATATCAGCAGCTTGTTTAAAAAAATACAATAATAAAATTTTTAATATTATTTGAGAGGACCATGTAAACAAGCATACTTACTATTTCCAGTTTTACTTAAAAGATATTTTTATTTTATGAGGAAAAAAAATGGACGAGACAAATTGTGGAACTATTGTGGCGTTTAACAAATTTAACCAGGGCCAAGTGAATATCATGTCACATCTTTCATCTTTTATTTCTTGAGAAAAAAATGTCTCAAGCATCTTGTATAAAGTATAAAAATCCTGCACAAAATAATTATTACTCGGGTGGAGTTTTAACTTATGTTTATAGGTGGAAAATAACAAAATGGAGTGATGTTAGACCTTTTATGGAACATACTAGTCCTCCTTTTAATGCTGATAATTTACAATGGTTTGTAGCATTAGAAAAAAAAATTTTTTTTTTTTTGGAATGTTCTTGAAAAATCTCAATGTTTATACATTTAATATTGCATCATTACAAAAAATTGATAATAAAACAGGGTATTTAAGGTAAAGTCGAATGATCAGAATATATTATTTCCATCTACTCATTCATTCATTGATTAAACGGGGATTTTTTTATAGTTTTATAAAGGTCGTCAAAAGAATCCATTGGTAAGAAAGAATCAACAAAAAAAAAATTTTTTTTTTCATGATAAATAAGATAAATAAGATAAATAAGATAAATAAACAAATATATATATTGATGATCATTTGGTGTATAATTGTGAAAAGGCGTTATCGTTATATTTAGGCATTCTAGAAACTTCTCCAGGCTGTCTTCGTGGTATTCGTAAGAAAGTCAGTATTATTTTTGTATTAGAAAACTTAAGAACTAGGGGAATGGATTTTGGAAAAAGTATGAAAAAAATAGAATAACTTGGTCTATATATACATATTTATACATGTATATATATATATATGATGCTTAATTTTTTTTATTTTTAAAATATAATGATTTAGTGGAACTTCCTGTTTGGTTTTGTGATAGTAAGTAAAATAGTATTATTAATTATCATTTCATTGATATTTGTTTCATCATTCACAAAGGAATAAAATTTTAGAACATTCTACGTGGGGCGAAGAAAATCTCATGTCATTGGATGAAATGGATAGGTATTTAATATTCGATTTGATATTTTTTTATCCTTTGGCCTTTCAACGTTATCAATAGATTGAAATATACATATACAAATAATACAAATCTATAATAGATTTATTAGTAATGATGCCATTTCGTTGTGTGTTAAATTCGAAATTCAAGACTCAATAATTGACATGCCACCACAAATTTCAAATTCATTTAATCAATTTATCAACTCGTCAGAATTTTCTGATATTACTTTTCATGTATATGATGAATTTTCACGAGAAAAACTTTTCTATGCTCACAAAGTAATCCTTGCCAACTCATCACCGGTATTTAATGCAATGTTAACAAATGGAATGAAAGAAACATTCGAAGATAAAATCAAACTTCATCAAACAAATCATTCGGCTTTCCTTACTTTATTAAATATTATTTACACGTCAAAGTTTAAGATCAACTCATCATATGAGGCTGAACATTTACTTGTTTTGGCTGATAGGTTTGCTATTGCGCCTGTTAGAGAAGAATGTCTAAGATATTTTCGATTGGAATTGAATCTTGATAATGTTTGGGGAATTTGGGCTATTGCTGGTAAATATAATTATATTTGTGATGCTGATGTTGACTTTTTAAATAATCAAATCAACCAACAAAATTTCTTACTTGATTTTACACTTTATACTTGATAATTTCGCATTACATTAAAAAAAAAAAAGAGAAATATTCATGTGCAAAAACTTCAGCTACATGTAAAGATTATGTTGCCTTGTATCTTGATGCACTTTTGGAAAAAGAATCTACCTTACATGCTAATCCAAATATATTATGTCTCGCACTTGAAAATGATGAAGCTAATGTTGGTTCTGAAGAGAAGATATATGAATTAGTAGTTAAATGGGTAACATATTCACCATCAAAGAATTCAACAAAGGTGATAAAAACAACCTTAGAATCTCCACCATCCTTATCCAATAATAATAATGATAGTAATGAAGATAGTTCGACAAATTCACAAGTTGAACCAAGTAGTAGTCAAACAATTAAAAATCAACCAATCAAATTATTTATGCCATCAGAATTACCAGAAATTATTGAAGGTATAAATTCCAAAGTCAACATAGCATCATCATCATCATCATCACCATCATCACCATCATCACCACCACCACCACCACCATCATCATCGTCATCATTATCATCATCATCATCATCATCATCATCATCATCATCATCATCATTATCATCATCATCATCATCATCATCATCGGCAGCATCATCATCATCATCATCATCATTATCATCATCAGCAGCAGCAGCATCATCATCAGCATCAGCATCATCAGTATCACCAGCATCATCACCATCGTCGTCGTCGTCGTCATCAGAATCAGAATCATCATCAGCATCATCAGCAGCAGCAGCACCAGCAGCTCAAAACACCACAAATGACCAATACGATGATAACAGTTTAATAAATGATGAAATGAATAATGATGATGATGATGATGATGATGATAGCGATATTGATGCTAATGATGTTGACAAATTTCCAAAACCTTGGAAAGGCGATAGACTTGCCGCATTACCTCTGTTGCTTAAATATATAAGATTTCCATTAATGAATAAACGTTATATTCTTGAAAAGGTCGAAGGAAATCTTACTATAATGGCAGCTGAGGGAATGAAAGACTTGGTAATGTTATATGATTTTTTGAATTAACATGTTTATATATATTAAGCGTTTTTTTATCTGTTGCAGGTTATTGAAGCTTATCGATTTTTATTAATGTCCGAGTTACTTGTCAATCATTCTACTAATAGAACCAAACATCGTAAAAGAAAAACAAGAGTTATTGATCGATAGAGGAAGCCGTCCATGTCAACAAATAATATTTTGACTTTAATTAAATATTGGCGCGTACTGTTTTAATTTGATAATGTGAACGCAATACCTAACGAGAGCTCAAATAAAGTCATGTTGTTTAAAAATTATGAAATGTGAATCAGGTGGATTATTATTATGTTCTTTTGATACTTTTTCCGTCATTCAAACATTTATATCAAAAGTTCTAGAAAAAAGCAAAAAACGTATGTTTTTTTATAAATATAAATATATATAAAATATTTCGTTTTGTTGCTATGTAGTAATTTGAGTTTTCGATATATCGTATCTGAAAAAATGCATAATATTTTGTATTATATCATGTGCTATATGCAATACAAATATCAGATTTGTATTCCAATACCTTTCTTTATTGTTTTTATGGCGTAGGATACATTCCCATATTAATATTGGAAAATGTTGAGGTACGTATCGCACAGGTCGTTGTCGTTTTTCTAACATAATATTAATGCCAATGTTGATTTCATCAAACTCGATCTTATTAGACACAGACTATGGGCGATGTATGTTTGCCAAGAATTTATAATTTTCTCTTTCGTCATGGGGAGCAAAAAGGTTTCATACTAATTAAATAACGCGCATAATGTAACAAAATATCAATAATATCGTGTTAAAGCAACGACTAGAAATAAATATCTAAAGGTATGCTGCGAAATTTAATAAACAATTTAATGATTCTACAACTCGTAATCTTTATTTTCTAGATTCAAAAAGGTGATGTGGTGCCATTTTAATACATTTATTCAATAAAAACTTTGATTTTTTTTAATTTGATTTCGAAGCAAAGAAAATATTCTATCCAAACACAATTCAAATCCCCTCCCCCTGCCAATAATTTAACAAGTGGCAAGTTAAATAATTACAATTTTATGTTTAAAGTCACGTATACAAAATTAATGGTCATTTATTTTTGTAGCATCAGCCTTTTGATTTTCAATGCTCTGAAAAAAAAGACCGGTCTTTGGAACCAGTATAACCTTGATGTTTTTTCTGCTAAATAAGATATTGATTAGTCTTTCAGATATAATGATATAGATGCCATTATTCAGTATTTTAGAAAGAACAACCATGATCATAAACTGCATCTTTTGAGTTGTTAGAGGGATAGTATTCACCAATTTAAATCTTGTCCAAAAAAAAAAATAAAAAATATATATCCAAGGATCAAATAATTTGACAATCCAAGGCTCGGATGATTATTTTAGAAAAATTAAAATTAAAAAGTCAAATAAAAAAGTAAATTTTACAAGAAACCTTTAATGTTTTGTTTTATAGTGAACCAGAATTAGTGGAGTTAGTTTCAATTTATGGAAAAAAGTAATTATCCTTTCGGTCTTATAGATTATATTGCTGTGAGAATAACGGTTTTGTTTTAAAACTATCATATGATTGTTAATACTGTGAAGTATTCTATGCACAGTACAAGCGATTGCGGTTCTAAAGGTTAATAACATATGAATAATACATGTTAGCCATAATTAATTCTGAATTGCAAAATTCCCCAACATTACAACTAACTCTTCAGTCCAAGTTGCTACAACCTCCAGAGTCGCAACTTGTTGGGATCATTACAAAGAAGGGTTGGATCTGCACAGTGTGCCTTTTAAATGATGCAGTCTTGATAAATTGCAGAGCATAGCGATAACCCCCTGGAATTCAATTGCATCATCATCAATCGTTGGACATTGCAAGTCAGATTAACCTTATTTACACAAGGAATGTGAGAATGACTGTAATGACATCAAGGATGTTTATAATCAAATGTTGCCTATTGAGTCGTGAACCAGTTGTGCTGCCTTGAAATGTGATTGTATATTTAATATTAATAATATTATTAATGATTATGAAAGCAAATACCAATTTTGATAATTACCCAGGAAGTTCTGCTCCTTGATTTAATTTCTGTCAGCTAAGGAAGTCGTAGGTTTTTTTCTTTGTTAATAAGACAATATAAATAAAAAATAGTATCTCCTGTTAGTCTTCAGAGCCAAGCCATACATGCCACACATTTTGTTGTCACCTTGGATTCTGAACAAATTTTTGAACAACACCAAGTGCCAATAAAAATATAGTTGTGCCCGTGAATTTGGAATCTGAAATTCACGCGCGTGAAATTCAAATTAGCCAATCAGAATTTTATATTCAAACTGACGCAAATTTGATTTTCACGCGCAACACAGTAAAACTTCAACTATAAATGTTTAATCTTAACCTCGACAAAATCCATACTTAGTGTTTAATGTATATGAACGGCTTCGCATGGCAGTTAGAAAATGATGAAGAAAATGTTTATATGTAAATTTATGGTTTTGGTAGAGAAAAGAATATATTTACATAATCTCTCCATTTTCTAGGAAAAACCAAAGATTCATCATATTTAATTGCCTTTTGTATAACAAACTCTTATTTTTTAAAAAACTTACTCGCTGTTCCAATACTTTTCCAGTTCTAAAATCATGAAGTTTTTTTAATCTTACACTATCTTTTATAACGGTTAACGCAGTATTCAATGTTTTAACAAAATTTTCTTTTTCTTTATTGCAATCATCAGTCCATTCTCCAAATTCTACTCGTTTAAACAAGGCGGTAAAAATATTAATTGCTGAGATGGGAGTAAAAGAAATGAGAAAAGCTTCCATTTTTAAATATGGTGAAAAAGTAGTATGAAAATTTTAAAAAATGCAAAAAAAAAAAATGATGTCAATATAAAGGTGCAACGAAATGAAAATCAATATAAAACGACAAATATTCATAACTTTGCTATATTACCCTTTTAAACGGTTTTCGCATTTTCTTTTTCTGTTTCATTTGGATATTTCAAAAGTCTAGAGTGCAGATTTTTCGTTAAAAAAATTTTTATTGAAAAATTTTGACGAGAACTTTATTAAAGGATCATATAACCTCCAATTTAAATAGTTTTTTTTTTTTAATAAGAAATATTATTATTTAATAAGAATGTAAACCTTTATGGACAATTAATCTACTTAGTACACGATCCATTACTGCTTTCCCGAAGCTTGTCTCTCACATAATTTCAACTGGTGACTTTTTCAACAGGTTCGGTGAATAAGCAAGGTAATGTGCTGGCTAATGGCCTTGACGTTTTGTTCACTATAAAGATAAAAAAAAGGTTTAACAAATATTTAGACAAAAGACAAACTCTTTGTAGAAAAATTCATCAATTTTGAATAAAAGTGTTGCGCGTCAATTTGAAATTTATTTTGGGGTTGGTGTTTGAATACAAAATGCTGATTGGCTAATATGAATTTCACGCGCGTGAATTTCAAATTCCAAATTCACGTACAACAAACAGGTCATAACAGATTTGCTATAGATTATGAAAGAGAAAGTTTGAAGGTATTATTTTGATTATTTATTATGGGAGGTTTGTATTAAAAAAAAGGGATAAAAAATAAATGAAAGTGTCACGTCAATTAGTTTGCATGGAACAATTCATATTACACTACAAGATGTAGTTTATTTTCTGGGGAGCATACTCGTATTCCAATTTGAATTCCAATTTGATTTTACTAGATAATGAATTCCTCTTTATTTACAATTATTTTAGCACTTTTATGAATTTGTATGTCATCGTTAATAAATTGCTGAATGTTACCGTTAAAATTGATTCGCACAATTATAAAAAAATCACAATTCGAGTTTATATGTTTGACTGTTTGATTTGGCGGTGACATACAATAGAATTTTCCTGGTCCTCATGTAATTCAACATAACTCAAATTTAAAAATCCACGAAAAAAAAATGAGACATGTTTTTTTTTTACGTTAATTGACTCACTTTTTAAAGCTGAATGGAATGGTGGTGGTTTTCTAAAATCCAACATGTGGTATCACAATATTTCAACTTTTGGATCCGCGCTGTATGTGGTTTGCACTGTACACATTTTCTATTGATAATATAAAATAAATGACCAACTTTGATAGTGTTGTCTTTTACCCTCCTTAATGGAGAAAAGTTTGTCCTGTTACACGGCTTTATCTCGAGACATTTGATATCATGGGCATTAATATTGACTTTTGATGGACACGTTATTAGATATTGTAGATATTGTGTAAAGTTCCACAACATAGTATATTTGTAAGCTGTAATCCTTTATTTTTATTATTGCTTACAAACAACTTTGTTATATTTGTTATATAAATACTATTACTATGCAAAAAAGACTCAACTTTAGTCAGAGAGATCCCTAACCATGCACTTTTAGAAATTTATCCATACAAAAAGTCAAGGGAAGATCTATTTTTTTGGAAAGGAAGAAAAAATATATACAAATAAAAAGGAAAAATGACAAAATACATGTTTGATGAAGCAATTAAAGTAGATTTTAAAGGAAAAAATAATAATGGATTTGTTTGTTATACTGGTGAACTTAAAAAAGATTGGAAGATTTTAGATGCTTCTCATGGAGGTATATTTATATCATATACAAATTTACGTACCATACCATATATGAATTTATTAAATATCCCCTTTAAAAATTTTTTTAGGATATTTAGTTTCTGTTTTATTGAATGCGTTCACACACCACTACAAAGATATATTACCACATCCGATCCATATAAGTTGTAATTTTATAAACAAATGCTTCCCCGGTGAATTTGAAATTGAAATCAAAGAAATCAATAAATCCAAAAAATATTCAACATCTTTAGGAATATTAAAACAAAGATCTCAACCAATCTCATCATCGCTTTTAATTAATTGTGTTTATTCAACAGTGATTTTTGGTGACTTGAATTTAGAAAAAGGCATTTCGCCACCATTCTATGAACAAGTTCCAATTCCACCTAGAGAATTGTGTGTCACCGCACCGCCTAACAGAGTTACTAAAAATATGGGAAAATATATTCAACTTTATGTAGATTTGGAAACTAATAAGAAAAAAAGAGCAGAATTAAAAACCTGGGCAACTTTTACTGATGACAGAGAAGTGGATTTGTTATCTCTTGGGTAGAAAATAAATACATTAAATAGTTTCATATTTATTATTAATATATTATTAAATTGTTATCAAATTATTATTATCATTGTTATTTGTTTTAGATACTTTGCAGATGTATTTTTTCCACCAAAACATAAACTAGAATCAAAATATGTAACAATGACACTTGAAATACAGTTTAAAAACATACCAAAAGGTAGATGGTTAGCAGCATCACATAGATCAAGATTTCTTTTAAATGGTAGAAATGAATTAGATAGTGAATTATGGGACGAAGAAGGAAATTTGTTGGCTATTGCAAGGTAAAATAAATAAACAAATTAACAGTAGTAGAAAAAATAAATGATTATTAAATTAATAATAATTTTATTTTTATTAATTTAGACAAATGGGTTTACTTATACCATTGGAAAATAATAGTAAAACAATTAACACCAATTCAAAACTTTAATTAATTAATTTTTTGTTTTTTATAATAATTTATATATATATATATATATTTATTAATCAATACAATAATTATATTCAAATTTTTCCAATATATTGATTATCGTTTTATCATCACATTATTAATTTTTATCCTTCAAACTGAATATTAAAAAGATAGTCAATATTTCTTTTTTTTTTTCAATCAATAAAAAAAATAAAAAAAATAATAAATGATAATGATAATGATAATGATAACGATAATGATAACGATAATGATAATGATAATGATGATAACCACAACGTAAGAAAATTTCCTTTTTATTTTTTTTAAAATTAAAGGAATGGTCCAAAATTATTATATATATGCGAAAGAGTGCGAGTCTGAGTGTTGGTTCTTTAAAATGTGGTGTGTTATAATTTTCTTGTAGTTGGTTTTATTTTTTGAATTTGAATGTTTTAAAAATACATAAATTTTTTGTCTAAAGAATAGTATTTTGATTATTTTGATTGATTAATTGATTGATTGAATGATTTAATTATTATACATTAAGTTACTACACATGTTTTTTCATCAACATGGTTCTGTATACCTTTAGGTTTGGCATGAATGCTCACACGAGCAGATTGTTCAAATGCTTCCCGTACACCTTTAATTAAAGATTAATGATAATTGGTTAATATTGATTACGGTTAGCTAATTAATCAATCAATCACATAATTAATTAAAAGATATAAACCTCTGTTATGTTTCGCTGAACACTCTAAATATCTAGCAGCTTGGATATTTCGAGCTACTGTTAAACCCTGTTATAATAATAAAATATACAAATATATATTAATGTGTATGCTAATTCTTTACATTTTCGATTATTTTAAATTTATTAAAAAATCTCCATTCTTCAATAAAATATCAAAAAAATAAATACTTCTTCATATGTGACAGGTTTTTCACCATATCTCTGCATATTACGTATAACTTGCTTATCTTCTCGTAAATCACATTTCAAAGCAACTAAAACAATTTTTACGCCCTCACAATGTTCAAGTATTTCTTGCATCCATTTTGAATCAATATTATCTAAAGAATCTCGATTATCAACTGAAAAACACATCATTACTACATGTGTATCTGCATATGATAGAGTTCGAAGACGATCAAATTCTTCTTGACCTTTTTTCAATTTTGGAAAAAATAAACAAATTTTTGATTCAATTTCATATGTATAAAAATAACCCTCTTATCATATATTCCACGCCTCAAAATACCTGCTGTATCCCATAACGATAATTCAATTTGTTGGTTATCAATCCATATGTCATACACATAATTTTCAAACACCGTTGGTTCATAAACCTAGTTTTATTATTATTATTATTATTATTATTATTATTAAAGGTTAATGGTTAATGATTAAGGGTTAATGAGAAATTAATTATTGGTTAGTTACTATAGTGAACTAATTGACAACCTGTGAATCATTTCACGAAATAATCGACTAACCTGTGGAAAATAACCTCTTGTGAATACATTTAATAAAGACGTCTTGCCACAAGCACCATCACCTAACACCACTAATTTACGTTGCAAAGGTTTGTTTTTAGCAAGAGGCCAACAAGGCATGATTATTGTTGTTGTTGTTGTTGTTTTTGTTGTTGTTGTTGTTGTTGTTGTTGTTGTAAGTTATTTTAATTTATTAATGACAATGATTATTATTATTCTCTTATATTTATTTATATTATTAATGTTAATAAGATTAAAATATTTTGTTATTTTAATTTGATGAAATTAAATAAAAATGAAATGAAATGGTAAATGGATCACTTTTTTTGCAAAGTTATATAGTTTTTTTTTTTTTAAAAAGGAGAATTACTAGAATTTCTACTTGGCAAAAAATTGCATGTAAAAAAAAAAAAACCAGACAATCATCGTCGTTTCTAGTACTATATATATTTTAGTCAATTTTTCAGAGTTTATTTTTATTTTTATTTCATTTGTAAAATTCTTTTTGTCCAAAAAAAACAAAGAAATTCAGGTTTTGTTATTATTATTATTATTATTATAATGGTTTCGCTTATTTTCGGTCCCAAACAGTCTTATACAATTCATTATCTAGCAAATCTGGCTTTTGAAATATTAATATTAATAATATATGTAATGTGATAATGTTTTAACCGAACGTTACAAAAACGTCAGATGTTAAAAATTTTTACGGATCACCTATTTCCTATAAGGAAAGAATTTAATATTATGTGAGAGGAGGGACTCTCATTAGTATATCAAATATTAATTTCAACAACCAAAAAACTAATTCTTATTGGCTGATATGAAGGAACGAATTTGTTCTAATGACAAATTTAGAAACGATTTTCTAACACCCTTTGTGTCATATTTCGAATTGTGTAACGAACGACCCGTTTTTTATTTTCATAAATAATGATATAATAATGACAAACTTCATTATGAAATGAATATTTTTCATAAAGCTGTGCCCATTCAAAAATGAAATTCCAATTATTAATTTCTTGAAAATGATTTAAGTTTTCACATGGGTGTATGTTATATGGAATAAAATTCAATTTAACTACTATTTCATTTTCATAATAATGTATTAATCAAGAATTTACAAGCTTGGCCTATAAATAATAATGCAGATGGAGATCATCGGTATTATCACCACATTTAGTAATTAGATTAACAGCTTAAATATTTAAATCTTCTACTTCCAAAATTTTCTTTTTTTCATAGAACACAAACTTTATTCTTGAGGAGAAACAAACGGTGTGACAGTTCTTTATCTTCTTTTAATATGTGTAACAATGTTTTATTTGATGTTTCACGACGATCCTTGCTTAAGGATGCATGGAAAATGAACTTTGCACATGGATTAACTTTGAAACCAAAAAAAAAGCGAGGCATCATCAGATCCCAAAGAATTTATTGATAAATATCCTAGGACAGTATGAGGAATTAGGTAACGTATCAATATATACATCTATATTTAATAGGTGTAAGTGAAACAAAAAATAATTGTTCAATCACAAGTTGAAGGAATATTTAGTCAGAGAGACCGTAATAGCCATTATATTAGAGGGAATGTTCGTGATGTTGACTAGGTTTGCGACTTTTTTCTTCCTTCATATTTATCATTATTTTCATAGTTTGACATAACAAAAGAAACAGCTGGAGTTATCGTACTCCTATCTTATATAGTTCAGAAAATTACGTCAGTCAAATTTATTTACATTGATTTTTTCTTTATTTATAACGAACAATAGAGGTTATGGTTATATTACCACCACTTCAACTTTAGTGTCAATATGATTAATTCTACAAGTTGCAAATAAACGAAACAAACGAAGATAACATCAAAAGTATAACTGTAATAATGGTAATAGTAAATAATGGATGAATATTTGACAAAATAGGGAATTGGTAAAGGACATATTGAGTATGAACGAACAATAAATTGATTAGCCGGCCTATATTAAGATATAGCCCATCAACTTTTGTAAATGTTTTAGCCATTAACAACGACACAGCAACTACTGGCACCGAATTTACATCTAATACTAATAAAACTATTGCCGCTGTTATTGCTGCATGATTGGAAATGTCATCACCAACAATCTTTAAATCTTTTTTCGGTTATGTTGTTTATACAGTGAACACTCTATTGTACATGGACGTTGTTCATTGAGAGAACTTCAAAAGGTAGATACCTCGTCTGATTATTCAACGAATCTATGGGACACAGAATAAAATTGATCGCATTTCAACGAATTTTAT